AAGAAGAGTAATAATTTAAATTGTATTGAATCAAAATAATATGCTACTAAAATTCTTCCTTTCCTTAATAATACTTTTAATTTCAACAAGAAAAAGTTTTTGTTACATGTCATTCATCTAATAAAAATAAAAAGTAATCAAAACCCATACTAAAAAAAAATTAGATGACTCAAAATAAGGATAAAATGATAACTCTCTCATTAAAATTCCTTGGTCTCTCGTTAATTAACAAGCTAAATTATTTTGAAAAGTTTTTACTTAGAATATTTTTTTTTTAAGAACATCTTACCATAATCATAAAACCAAAATTTAATTAAAAAAAATAACATTTGAATAATTTTGACATAAATGTATTAAAAAAACTTCAGAATAATAAAATGCTTGTATGTTGTCATGTAGAATTCTTAAGTAGAGTTATTAAGCTCTTCCTAATAGATTAACTTGGAGATCTCCTGACGTGATATCTTACCTCATTTGAGTTTGAATATCAAATTAAATCTTATGAGGATTAATTGTATTTGATCTAATTAATTTGACAAGCTTAAAAATGACTTGCACTACTAAGTCAAAATTTTAATTGACTTTAAAAAAATTTCAACACACAAACATTTTTATTTTTAAAATATTAAAATAAAAAAAATCTTAACCCAAATCAACCCTCTGAATACACAAAATATTATCTAAGGATCTATATAATATATAATATATGCTAGATAGGAGGATACTGTTCTGCCAAGTTTGACCTAAATTCTTTCAACCTAAAAAATAGATGTTAATGAGATGTAAATATTTTTAAAAATATCAAATCTAAGACCTCGGTTATTGATGCAATTGGATTTAATAAGATTATATAATTTAAATATTATGAATAAAAAATATAACAACAATAAAAAAATTGATAAAAAAATTGAAAAGTAAAAAAGATTAAAAAAACCCGACTCGAGCCATTTCAAATTAATATATCAAATATGTGATCTACTTATTATATTACGATAACCTTGTCAAAAGCATATTGAATAAAGTCAATAAACTTAATTATAAAATAACATAATAGTAAAAGATAAAATTAAAAAGAAATTCTAATAAAAAAATCAAGTAACCTAGATTAATAAGATAACTATGCGACCATAAGCATACGATTGAGACAACCTTATAGAAAAACAATTAAAAAAATATATACACTAATTCGCAATAAATTAAATATTGAAAAATAAAAGAATTTTTTTTTAAAAAAAGGACAAAAAAAGACCAAAGTGGTATGTTAACCTTCAAAATTTATAACCCTGACTATGAGTCTGAAACTAACCTCATAGATTGTAAACCATAAAAACAACAAGGAAATATTCTAAATCATTAAAATGCTAAATGATAATATTAAGAAAAAAATAAAATAAAAAAGGATTCAAAATAAAAAAAATAAAAATTAAAAGAATAAGGATTAAATTTCATATAAAAAATTTTAAATCAAAAGCTAAGTAATGAAATTAAAAACAAAATTCAGCTAGAAAAGGATTAAAAAAAGCAAACATTAATTAAAAGAATAATAACCAAATTTAATATAAAAATTAAATAAAATCAAATACTGAGGGATTAAATTAAAAAAAAATCAATAAAAAAAATGACTTAAATTGAAAACAAAAAACAAATTGAATAACACTTTTATATTTTGACAAAAAAAAGAAGAAGAAATGAAATATAAGAAAAAAGTTCACCGGACCTAACCATTGCACTAATGTGCACATGCGCAACACCAATGGAAAGAGAACAATAAATTGCTTTCAACGTCGCCCCAAAAAGTGGTGATTAGACACAGGACAACGCTGCACAAGTTGTCTAAAAGGCGCTGTCATTATTTACTCGCTAGCACATACACAAACGTGTAACTTTTTTTAAATAATATTTATATTAATAAAAAGATTATATCACCCTTGTCAACTTACTTGTTACAAAAACTAATATAAAAAGATGGTAAAGCCCCTAGATGTAAGTTTGATAGTTTTTGCTTATAAGAGTAATATAATCTTTACACTATACGTTTAAAACGAAAAAAAAACTGAATTGTCTTTATTAAACCTTTTAAAACTTGCTTTTAGCACAATATATTCATTACACTATATAAGGTAAAAGATTGAATTGTCTCTAATTGACACGACTGAAAGATTGATGTCATCTCCCAAGTGCAGGAGTGTCGAAGTAATAAATAACCCGGCAAGACCGGGGTCGAACCACAGGGAGGTTAATTGTACAAATTATAAATAACAATAATACAACAACAATAACAATAACAACAATAACAATAATAATAGTAATAACAACAACAACAACAACAACAATAATAGTAATAATAATAATAATAATAATAATAATAAAGAAAAAGAAGAAGAAGAAGAAGAAGATGAAAAAGATGAGAACTTTAAGATGAAATATTAACGTAAAGATTTAACAACGATAACAATAAATGTCAAGGTTAGAGGATCCACTAATGGTATGTCAAACAAGTATAGTATAAACTCTTATTAGTCAATTGGAAACCACACACAAAGGAGGTTCCAATCAGATTATAGATTGTTAACATGATTACATTAGTCATCTTATTCAATTAATGCTAATACTTTTAAATCTCGTCAAGCATTCATGATTATAACTTATGTTAACAACAAATCAAGTTCCTTTCATAGTTCAGGTGTCGGTTATACCATACAGTATGGGCTATGAAAGTGCCAAGCATTTGTTGTACCAAGTGTTATACAACATAAATCAAGATTAATCATTTAACAAGCAAAGTATTAAATAGTGAACAAGATAACAAATACAAAACATGTTAGTATCAAACATTAAAGTCCATATTAAGTTTACACTATACTTATTCTTACACCATTAGTGTAACCTTTTCACCTTGACATAATAAACTTAGCTAAACATAATGAAAGAAAGAAAAATAGATAAACAAAATAAGAACATAAATAAGATAAAAGTTAACTAAGTAAAGGAAATGAAATGAAAGACATAAACTTGATATTAATGAAAGCAAACATAAACATTACAAAAAAAATACAAAAAGAGAAAGCAAGAGCATGATCTTGATCTGGATACCAAGATGCCTAAATGCATGGAAAATGCCTCCTTTTATAGGCCAAAATTGAGAACTATTGATTTGATGACTAATTGATGAGTGGGTAGCCAACTCTTGACTTGGTGACAATCCTTATCTTCTCTTGTCTGCCCAAAACTTCATTGATAACGTCAAAATTGGAGCCACTTGAAAACATGAAAGTTGTGGGCAATTGTTTCAGCTTTCTTGTGTAAAAACTTCAGCTCATTTGGACTTCTAAAACTTCAGATATGACCAAACTACTGAACAGTGTTCGGGCTGGAAGACATCTTCGGACTTCTTTGTTGTTGCAATAATTTGGACTTGAAAATGACCTTTTTAGATCTTGGGCTTCATATGAAAGTTGTAGGCCTATGTCTTACCTTTCCATCCATATAAAGTAGACCTAAATCTGAGATCTATAGCTCCAGATATGACCCAATTACCAAACAGTGTTCCGGTTTGGATTGCACCGACATCTCTTTTCTAATTTTGGTCAGCTCTTTGCCCTTGCAATTTAAGTTCTTAAAGTCATCAATCAATCCTTTCATTTATGTGATAGGCCTGCATTTAAAATGAACATTTACCACAAATTAAAGGTATCTTATATTATTAGATATATTATTATAAAACATGCTTTAGTTAAGAAGTTATTGATACTTGAATTGCAAAATGATGATATAAAACCATGATAAAAATGCACTTTTAAGTACTAATCACTAATCATTCTAATTGATTAATAAACCCTAAAAAAAATATCATTTTACTCTTAATAGCAAGTTTATTTATTTTAATTGAAATGGTAAAATAAAAATTATATTATTATAACAAATAACAATTTTTGTCTAGGTTCGCAATGAATTCATCCTGATGTTAGAGAAATTTACTGGTAATTTGAGAATTTAATTTATTGTTCTTAGATTAATTATTTCATTGTTATTTTAATTATTAAAATTAAAAAGATATTTTATAGTACAAACATTTTTTTAAATATTATCAAATTAATTTAAAAAGTTAAAGATGAGAAAAGAAAAATAGAGAACCATTTCGTCTCTATTCTTGCACCTTTTAATATGAGTTATACCTTTGTATCTTTTTTAGTAACGCTTTTAAATATTTGAATTAGGTTTATTTTTTATATGCATACCAAGCCAAATACAATAACCAATTCAAAAAATGACAAATATGTTTTTTAGCAAGTATATTAATGTTTTGATCTCTTTGTTAGAAACACAGTTGAATTAATAAGTTAATATTGACACATTTTGCATGTAATATAAAAAAATAAATATTTTTCATTTTTATATAGAGAGCATAAGTATTTTTTTATTATGGTATGTAAAACTTGTTTTATAAAGGTAAGAAAATATATTTTGTAATAAAATCTTCTTAATACTTAAAATTGAAGGGTATTATTATTAAATCAAAAGTTTCGACATACAGTTGATTTCTCATGTAACTAGTCTCTCTCTTCACTACAAACACTTACTCTCTCTCTTTGAACTTTCATTTTATTTTTCATTACCCTCTTCTGTGAGGAATTATCCTATTATATTTGTTAGTTTCCACATACAGTTATCATATACCCTCTTCTGCTATATATATATATATACACACACACTCTTATGAACAACTTCATATATCTATTAGCTTTATATGCACGTAATCTTATTCTGATTTTAGTTTCCGTCTGCTAACAGCCACAACAGTAATTTCTTCATTATTTTTGGAGCATTCTAACACTGATCTCTCTCCAATATATATTCAAATTGTTCGCTGACATGTTAGGAAGCCTGTCAGCAACCACATATTTACCTGAAGAAGTGCTTATGTCATGTGTGATGATTACACAACAAAATATAATCATTTTCGAAGTGAAAATCTGAAGACTAAATTTGATTGAGATTACAAGGAAATATTGAGAAACACTGAATTTGAAAATGAATTCCTGCAAACAAAACCTACTTTCATGACAAAGAAGCCCTCCACAAGAAACAACTTAGCTGAAAATTGACATCTAGAAAGGAAAAAAAAAACCCTAACCTCCACCTCCTAGGAGAAACATCAACCTGCTAGCTAGTGGTATCTACAATTGCTAGGCTCTTGCAAGCATTAAAAGAAAATCTCACCTTGTTGCTCTTACCTGCTGCCACAAACACCCTCTCAAATCCAATGACTTTCTTGGCATGAGCCCCACTAACACCATCTGGAGGTTTTGATTAAACCATGACCGCTTCACTTCCGTCTTTATCCCCTACGTTTTGGACTGTCACCTCAAACCCAAATTGATTGGCACAACTTAAATCATCAACAAAAACAGCAGGGCAGCTTTGCCTGTAGCCTTCACTGGTGGAGTTCAAGTCATGGCATTACTGATATATACTTGTTCAATTTGATTTCAAGATAGGCTTCAGCTGGGGATGCTAGCTCGTTCCTGAACTCCGTGTAGCTGAGTCTATATCCAAATGGATAAACTGTTGAGCCATTGTAGAATTTATATGTTCTTACAGGATAACCGAAGCTGTCAACAGGTCGCAGTGGCATTGATGTCACATGTAACATATCAACATAGCTACTTTCATACCATGTGAGTGGCAGTCTCCCTCCTATATATATATATATATATATATATATATATATATAT